ACTTCGGCTTCTTGCTGGTTAATTGGAGATAAGAGTCTCACCAACTTTTCTGCTTGGCTGGCTTTGAACTGTGATCCTCAGATCTCAGTCTCCTGAGTAGCTACGATGGCAGGCGGAAGCTATTGTAGGCACTCAGCTTGGGTGGATTTTAATATAAAAGCAAGTGTTAAGGGCTGGGAAGGTGGCTCAGTGGTAGAGTGCTTGCCTTGCATGCATGAGGCCCTGGGTTCCATTCCTCAGCACCACATAAGCAGAAAAAAAAAGCGGGAAGTGGTGCTGTGGCTCAAGTGGTAGAGTGCTAGTCCTGAGCTGAAGAGCTGAGGGACAGCGCCCAGGCCTAGAGTTCAGGCCCCACGACTGGACCCCCCAAAAACCAAACAAAAATGAGTGTTAAATATGATTTTCAGGAGGAGGTTAATTCCAGTGCAGAGTGTGTTAGAGATTTATGTTCATCAGGCCGAGGGCTAAGGCCTCCATGCCCAAAGCCCACGAGCCCAGGCTGAAGGAGCCCGCCATCCATTTGCACCGGGGAAGGAATTGAATTGCAAACCAGAGGCAAACTGGTTTTTCCACAGTAGGGCGAGAAGTGAGTGGAAAGCTCGTTCTGCGGCGGGCAGTTTTCTGTCATGGGCCACCTGAGGCTTTCGAAGAGGTGGCAAATCCCAGCCAGTGGAGCGGCTGCGCAGACCACTTCTGATATGGCTTTGTGCCTCAGTAGAACTTTTTTTTTTTTTTTACAGACAGCGCTAATACTGTGAGGAACTGACTCTGTGTGTGTGTGTGTGTGTGTAAGTGTGTGTGTGCAGGTCCAGAGCTTATCCTGAGCTTATGAGCTCAAGGCTAGCACTCCACCATTTGAGCCACAGCTCCCCTTCCGGCTATTTGGCGGTTCATTGGAGCTCTTCAGATCTCAGCCTCGGGAGTAGCTAAGATGACAGGAATGAGCCGCTGGCGGCCACTGACTTCTTCCCCCCCCCCCTCTATTTTGCCCCAGGAGGAGTTTGGCAATCCCTCCCCTCCCCCATGGCTTTGTGTCTCAGCTGGGAGTCGCTCTCCACGGTCACTTTACGATCCCCAGGGGCTCCTGGTAGGACAGAACTCATCCACAACCTCTTCAAGGTAAAAGGATCAAAGCTACCCCTAATGGAATGCCGAGCCTGGCCGGCAGCACTTCCAGAGGCCAGAGTAATGATTCCCCGGGGGCGGACTGCCCCCTCCAGGAAAGATAACCAACCAGGTGACTTCAGAGGCAGGGACTGTTCCACCGTGCATACCTCTCCCTCCCCCCTCCCCGTGCTGCCTGACGAAAGCTCGCGTGGGTGCGGTGGGGTGAAGGGCTCCCTTCCCAGGGCTGCCCCCACACCTCACAAACCTCTCTCTGCCCTTCACCCCATCTTCTTTTTGGTGTGGGTGATTGTGCATGTGCAGGAGTTTGGGTCTGGGGTGTGACACTCTGGTTCAATGCCAGCCTCCCCCATCCCAACCAAATTCCCTGTCATTCCTGGGACATCCTGTGTGTTTAGATGAAAACACGGCGAAGGTACGCGCAAGGGCTGTGGGGGACAGTCGCGCGGGGAGCTGAGCGGAGGGGAAGGGCTGTGGGGGACAGTCGCGCGGGGAGCTGAGCGGAGGGGTCGGCCGTCACACAGTAACTGTGTGACCCTCCTTGGGAGCCTTGATTCCCTCCCCCTCCCCCTTTGAACAGGATTCCAGAAGCTTCCCCACCCCTCAGCTCAATAAGTCACCTAGGAACAGGCTTCCTTTGTTAGGAAGGATTCCTGGAGTGGTCTTTAGTTATGCAAATGTGGCCAGGCGGGCACCCCAGCCCTGGGGAAGCCCGGAAAGGGACTTAGAGGGGGACAAAGCCTGCCCTTTCCCAGGCCCCTCGGAATACAGGAGTCCTCGGGAATGGTGGCGAGCGAGGACAGCAACCTGGTGCTCGGGGAGCCCTGGGCCTTTGGGGAGGAACCCCCCCACCCCAAGACCACACCACACTTCCTGGCTGGAGACAGGAAAATCACCATCAGCAGAGGCCTTGGAAGACTGCTTCACATCTGGTGAGTCTGTGGGTTCCTCCAGCAGATGGTGCAGCTGGCAAATAGCCACAGGACCCAGCACCCCCAGGACCCCGATGGAGCAGGGGACCCAGGTACCTCACTGGCTCTTCTGTAGCCAGAAGCCACTAGGCGGTGCTCCACAGCGCCCTTGTGTGGAGCAAGGGAGAAGAGCAGGCTGGGGGAATTTGGGGATAGGTTCAGAGGATGACTGAAGGAGTGGAATAATCACTGAGGAAATTTATTTATTGTGACGAGTTTCACCACGTAGCCTAGGATAGCCTTGAACAATGTAGCCCAAGCTGGCCTCAAACTCTGCATCCTCTTGCTTCCTCCTTCTTGGTGCTGGACTTAAAGGTGTGGACCATCATGCCCAGCTGAGAAAACTTAAATAGAACTATGTGTTTGTGCCCTGAGTTCAAATCAAACTGACTAGACCTGCTCATCCTTACCACTGCGCCAGGCAAATGGAATGGCTTCCTAATGGTTTTACTGGTATTGGGGGCCAGAAACTGATGCTGGGTGATGGGAGGCGGGTCAGAGGCAGGGTCTCGGACCTTCCTCTGCCTCACCCATCTTTCTACCTTGAAAGTGAGCCTTATGCCAAGCGCTGGTGGCTCACGCCTGTCATCCTAGCTCTCAGGAGGCTGAGATTTGAAGATCATGATTCAAAACCAGCCCCGGCAGGAATGTCCATGAGATGCTTATCTCCAGTGAACCTCCAGAAAACCAGAAGTGGCACTGTGGCTAAAGTGGTAGAGCGTTCGCCTTGAGCTGAACAGCTGAGGGACAGCACCCGGGCCCAGAGTTCAAGCCCCATGACCGACAAAAAGAAAAGAAAGCCTTATCACTCCCTCTCCCCCATTGGGTCATGGAATCAGTCCCTTAGCCTGAGCGAGCTTAAAACCTACCACGCACCCTCTTAGATGCCATCCTCTTGTTAAAGCTGCCTTCTTTTGGTTATAGGACATCAGACCCTTATTCTGGCCCAGCTCCTACACCAGGAAACAAGAATGTAAATATTGCTGATGCCCATGGCTCACGCCTGTAATCCTAGCTACTCCAAAGGCTGAGATCTGAGATCATAGTTCAAAGCCTCAGGCAGGAAAGTTTGTAAGACTCTTATCTTCAATAAACTACCACAAAGCCAGAAGTGGAGCTGTGGCTCCAGTGGTAGAGTGCTAATGTTGAGCAAAAGAAGCGGGGGGGGGGGGGGGGACTCAGGGACAGCATCCAGGTCCTGAGTTCAAGTCCAGGACTGGTACAAAAAGAAAGAAAAAGAATGTAAAATGTCTTCCTGAACAACACAGAATGCTAAACCATGGATCTAGGCCTGGGCAAAGGAATACATAGGCTGGGTCTGGCTTCAGAGGCAGTTAAGATTTAGAAGGCAAGGAACTCAGGCCAGAGACTAGGGTGGAGTGAAAAAGGTCAGTAGGAGTCAGATAAGAGGCTGAGGCCTGGGTGAGCGTGCGCAGGGAGGGCAGGGAGGGGCTGCGCCAGAGCGAAGGCCGAGAGGTTCCCACACATCTCCAGTGAAAGATGCAACTGACTCTGTCCCCCAGCTCAGGCCTCACAGCAGGCTGCTAACCTCATGCGCATGAGTAATCTGGTGACAAATGTAGGCAAAGATTTTTTCTGTTTAAGGTACACTTTGCTTTTTTGTTTTGTGCAAGTGCTAGGGCTGGAACTCAGAGCCTCTTGCTTTCACTTTTATTTTTTGCTCAAGGCTGGCACTCTACCATATTTCTGCATTCTGTTGGTTAATCAGAGAGGAGTCTCAGGGGCTTCAAACCACAATCCTCAGATCCTCAGCCTCCTAAGTAGCTAGGCTTCCAGGTGTGAGTCACCGGTGTGATTTTGCGTGTGTCCAGCCGGGACTGTCCCTCTCTGCTACAGGCAACTGTCCACTCCTCCTTTACCACACAGTGTGCAACAGGCTGCCCTGGCTCCAGTCCCACCGGGCCCAGCTGGAGACGCGCAGAGCGAGCCTGCGGAAGGGGTGCAGGGTGCAGAACTGGTGCTCTCTGGAGTGTTCCCATCCCATACCCCTGCTTCCCGGTCCTCTGCACTGGGGTCTAGAAACCTTCCTGAACCCAGAGGACCTGAGAACCAACCTCGCCGGCCTCCATTTCCGGCTACACCACTGCCCACACCTCACGTCCTCTGCCTTTGATTAAGCCGGTGCTGCCATCTTTAACTACTGGATGTTTCGAACCCCGGGCCCTGCACGCGACGGGGAGCTATGGGATGGTGTCGCTGACCAGGAGGGAAGGTGGGAAGGTGGGGGCGGGGTGGGGGAGGAGAGCAGCAGCCTGGCCTCTCTGCTTCTCAGGGACTTGGATCTGGGCAGCGGGGCCCATGGTGGCTGGCCCTGAGCGGGGTGCGGGCTGGGAACTTGTCTTCAGCATGGGCAGCCCAGCAGCTGAGGCCCAGGGCGCTGCCCAGGGGAGTCATTTCTACTTCCAGGCTGGACCCCACCGAGCCCGGTCAAGGTTTCCAGGTTGCTAGGCAACCCGGGCATCAGCAAGCCCACGGACCCCTGCACCTTCCCACCACCCAATCCTGGCCGCTCTCGGACCGCAGAGCCAATCGTGTCTCAGTGTCCAGCAACTGGTCTTGTTTAATTGAGAAAGTGTAGCCATGCCCCCTCCTGGCCCCGGCCCTCGCTGCCAGCCCAGCCCCTGGGCCGGGGACATTGAGTCCGAGCAGGCCATGAGTGGCAATCGCTACACAGGGGGGGGGGGGGGGGTAGGGGTGCTTGGTGGGGGGAGGATGCTGAGGGCATAAATAAAAGTCACAGTACTAGAGGAATGGCCTCTGCCTTGGGCCCAACAGGCCGGCTCTGACCAGGGCGCCGGCCTGGGTGCGTCGTTGGGGGTGCGGGGTGGGAGGGGGGCCTGGGCTTGGGCTGTGCTAAGGCAGCACCAGGCCTGGGGGGGCTGCGCAGGGCAGGTGGGGTGCGGCGCGGGCTGAGGTAGCTGGAGAGGCGGCCGGCCTCACCTGGGGACCTGAGGACGCAGCCTGCTCCAGGCGGGCGTGGGGATGGGTCCCTAGGGACCCCTCTCCCGGGAGACCCAGGCTGGTGGGCGAGTGGGGTTGCTCTGTGAGCCTGCACAGGGTGCTGAGCTTCTGTTGCAAGAGCGGCCTGGCCCTGGGGGGAGAGAAGGGGGGAAACTGAGGCATTTCACAGGCAGAGCCCTCCTAGTGGGTGGCACTGGCAGTCACGGACCCCCTGGGCCCAGCCCAGGGACCTGAGCGACGCTCCTTCACAGCCATGGGCCTCCCGTCCTAGGAGGGCAAGGGCGGGGGGCAGGGCCGCGGAGCTGGGCCTCAGTTACCCCAGCAGCTCCCGCCACCCCTGAGCCTCACTTTCTGAGAGTATCTGGAAGCCCAGCTCCCTGGACCTGCCCCCCCCATCCCCAGGGGACACCAAGTCCCCCCCCTCCCGACCCTTCATCTCCCACTGGGAACCAAAAGGCACTGCGGCCCTCGGTGGTCCGGGGGCCCTGTGGTGTCAGAGCACCTGCAGCCTCCGTGCGCACGTGAGGTTGCCGTGCACCAGCCCCCACATGGCCAGCAGCTCGGCGGGCAGCAGCTTGTGGACCACCAGCATGGAGCGGAAGAAGCAGGGCTCCTTGTTCATGCGGCTGTTGCGGTTCCGGGAGATGCCGAAGGTCTTGAAGCCCTCGTGGGCCACGGGCTGCACGCCCAGCACCTCCAGGCACATGCCCAGGAACACGTCGTCGATGGGGTAGAGCTCCAGCGTGTCGCACGCGTGGCGCAGGCGCCGGGCCAGGCGGCCGGCCATGAGGAAGCCGCCGCCGCCCGCGTAGGGCGGGTAGCTGGCCTTGGGGTAGAGCACGGGCGGGATGTAGTACTTGTTCTCCTTCCTGCGGATGGGCCGTGCGTGCTGCAGCACGTCCCCCACCAGCAGGTTCTCGCGCGGGCGCCGGTCCGCCAGGAACTCCAGCAGGTTGGTGGGGTTGACGAAGACATCGTCGTCCCCTTTGAAGATGAAGGGCACGCGGGGACAGTAGATGTCCAGCCACTTGAGGAAGTGGATCTCCTTGAGGGTCAGGTTGAAGAAGCTGTCCAGGAAGTCCCACTGCAGGATGTCGCCGTACAGCCGGTCCTCGTAGGCCAGCAGCTGCTGGTAGTGGGCGCGCTCCTCCTGCTTGGAGGCCGTGCCCAGCAGGAAGAGCGTGCGCACGGCGCCCCGGCCGCCGCCCGCCGCCGCCCGCTCGCGGCCCCACGTCTGGCGGATGGCCTCCCGGCGATCGTGTTGCGTGATGATGGACTTGACCACGACCAGCAGGTACACGTCCCCCGCGCACTTCTCGGGGTGATTCAGCAGGATGGGAAAGTAGCGGCAGTGGCGATAGGTCAGAAACTGCCGGAAGTGGGGCTCCAGGCCCTGGAACCAGGTCTGGTGCGTCAGGTTGGTGTTGGCGGAGCAGTTGGTGCTGGTCACGTCCCACGCGGGCGGCCCGTCGGGCGCCGCCTCCTCGGTGGAGGCTACGACCGGGTCCTTGGGACTCTTCCAGAAGCTGTTGGGGCTCGCCAGCTGTCCACTGGGCTTCTGGGACTTCAGGGGGTCCGGCACGGGCGCCGGCGGCTCCTGCAGAAGCTGCCCGGGGGTCATGCCGCGTTGGAACACCGTGGCGGCCACCAGGAGCGCCAGGGCCAGGCCCGCGCTCTTATACAGGCTTCTCTTCCTAGGGAGCAGCACAGAGGAGGGAAGGGTGAGCCACGCTCTCTGGCCATCCCTTCTGGAAGGTTCCACAGCCCCAGGGCAGTCAGGGGCCTCCAATCTTGGAGCAGTCAGAAGTCCTGCTGCCGGGGCGCTGGTGGTTCCCGCCCGGCACCCTAGCGACTCGAGATCTGAGGATCAAGGTTCAAAGCCAGCCCTGGCAGGAAGGTCTGGGAGATTTCTTTAATCTCCAATGAACCACCAAAAAGTTGGAAACGGGCTCCGGGCCTCCAAGCGGGAGAGCGGGAGCCCAGAGCACGAGAGCTCCTGGACGGTGCCCAGGCCCTGAGTTCAAGTCCCAGGACCTGCACACATGAAAAAGAAGTTGGGCTTCGTCTCTCCCGCTCGCTCACGCCTCCATGCCCAAGCCACGACTCAGGGTCACCTCACCAAGCCCCATCTTCGCTCTCCCCCACTGGCTTCCTCCCCGGGGGCTCAACCAGGGGCCCTAGGAGCCGGCGGAGCGGGGCCTCCGCGGCCAGGGAGCCCAGGCCCAGGCGGTCACCCGCGTGGACCCCAGCTCGGGGCCCTCGGGAGACGGTGGCCCTGACGCCCGCCAGCCCCACCGGCACGACCCACGCCTCCGGCACCCCAGGAGGAGCAGCGTGGTCCCCAGGCTTCCCCCGTGCAGACGCCCCACTGCGCCCACGTCACGCGCAGAGTCTGAGCTCGTCCCAGGAGGGCTCCCACGAGGGCCGGACCCCAAACCGACATCTCAGCTCCCGGCGGGTGAGGGCGGGCCGGCAGCGTGGCCTCCCACGGCGGGGACAGGGCACCCCGGGGCGCAGGCGCTCAGGGGATGAAGGCTCAGCCCCACGCAGGGCGACCCCCCGTGGGGTCCCAAGATTGCCTTGGCCGCAGGCTGGAGGGACCCGGGCCGTCAGGTGCAGCGCTCTGGACGCTGCAGACGGGATCCCAGCCTCGGCTCTGGGGTCCCCGAGCCCGGGGAGGGG